TTATCTAGAGCTTTATAAGTTTCTTCGTCCAAGACATGAACGTCAAGCTATTTATTCTGGTAAACGTGTTTGCCGTACTATTGTTCCATCACTTCAAGATCTTTGTGTTGAAGTTCTAAAAGATCATGTTGATGGTAAATATTTTTCAATTGAAAACAATAAAATAAATAATTTTCTATAGATGTATGTCATACACATTTACAACGACTTCCATATGATATTGTTAAACCAATTATTGATTCAGCAAACCCTGAACAACTTCACAATATAGTTGATAATAATCCAGTATGAAGATTTTTGTTTTTATTATAATGAATAATCATTTTTGTTTTACTTTTCAAAAGGATTATGTTGATGATGTTGAACCATTATGGAAAAAATTTTGTTCATTAAAATTTAAAGATGCTGAACCTGATGAAGGTGAAAATTATTTTGAACTTTACTGGGTAAGAATCAATGAAATATTTAACTATTGAAATATTATTTCGCTTTTATTTTATAGCGTAAAGTTGATGAAGATGAACAACGATTACGTCGTATAACAGAGCTTGCGAAAAAAAGAAAAGAAACAACAGTTGACACTAGTAAATCTTATATTATTCTAAGTCTTTGTTCTTCATTTCTTCTTCTATAGGTCGTCAAACAAAATCCCTCACTCTACGGCAAACTACCAATCGTCATGTACCTATGAGTATGTCCACTAAAGTCACTCGAGAAGTCATCGGCCTTCCACCGTCAAAACCTATGCGAGGACAAGCAAAAGTTAAAAGTAAATCAAAATATTTCTTATAAGACAAAGGAAACATACTTTTTCTTTTTTTAGAAGCAACGATGCCACCATTGCTCAAAAAAACCCTTAGATTTTACAATGGAAAAAATTAAACGATACTATGTACATATGACTACTCCTGCTTATACGAACATTACACACATCTTGTCCTTCCTTGGTTTTGACAAAAAAGTTGCCATTTTCTTTTTATTCCATAATGTCTTTTCATAACATAGGATACAATCGAATTTCTACAATTATTTTTAGTTTTTGTTTGTTATATGTAATAGTAAATCAAACAAAAAAGAACGAGATTCTTGGGTGCCTGTATTTATCTTTTGTTCTTCTGTAGTTTGTTTTGTTTATGACAGACAGACAAGTGCTATTTAGTTTAAAGGTGTTTGTTTATTTATTTTTTGTTTTTTTCCTCTTCTTAAACTATTTATATGATGATCAATGTAAATAAAACAAACAAAAAACAACTATAAACATTGACTAGTGATTTAACAATCATTCTTTTTTCTTCTAGAGTCAAAATCAAGTTTATGTTTCTAGTTCCTTCAAAACGTTAAATTCTTTCTTTTTCTCGTTTCAATTCATTGTACATATTCATTATCTTATTTATTTTTCTCAACATCAAACACTCACTCACACACACAAAGAAAGAATAAAAACAATTGCATTATTTTAAATCTTCCAGTGTTTTTATTATAAATTATGTCATCAACAACTCTTCGTCAAGTACCGATTACATGCAATGGTCATACTAGACCAGGTTAGTTAACAAAAAATTTCAATAATATTAATAAAAAACAATTCTTTTTCTAGTTGTCGATCTTCGCTTTAGCGACGTAACAAAATATAGCTATTTTCTCATAAGCGCTTGTAAAGGTAAATTTTTGTATGTTTTCCTTTTTCATTTTATTTTTTAATTCAATTTCTAGATGGTATACCAATGTTACGTGAAGGTGATACAGGTGATTGGTAAGGAAATTTGAAAATTATTATTTATGAAATTATTTTAATTATAAAATTTTTATAGGATTGGTAGTTTTATTGGTCATAAAGGAGCAGTATGGGGAGCGACTATAACAGGAAATGCGGAATTAGCTGCAACAGCTGGTTCAGATTTTACTGCAAAATTATGGGATGCACAAACAGGTACAGAATTACAAACATTTGAACATAAACATATCGTGCGTTCTGTGGATTTCTCATCGATAAATAAAGAATGGTTATTAACTGGATCAAATGAAAAAGTAATTAAAATATATGATGTTACTGCACCAACAGGTTAGTTTCCTTTTACATATATATATATATTTCTATAATGATTTTTGATTAGAACCGGTGAAAATCTTTAGTGGTCATACAGGTGCAGTTAAAAAAGCAATTTTTATGGATTCAAAACGTATCTGTACAGCATCTGATGATAAAACTATAAAGTAAATTTTTAAAACCTAAAAATTCTTTTATCTTTATTTTATTTCTTGTTCTTAAAAGAATCTTTGATATTGACTCAGGAAATTGTATATCAACAATAGATTTCCCTTCACCACCAAATAGTATCGAAATTTCACGTGATGGTCAAGCTTCATTACTCATTACACATGGAAAAAAAGTCGAAATTTACGATAGCAATACGTATGTGCATGTTGTGTTTTTTTTCAAAGTTCTTTTTATATTCATTTACTTGAATTTAGTTTAAATAAACTACAATCTATTGAAATGCCATGTGAAATGAATACAGCTACATTTCATCCAACTGCACGTGAATTTGTTTGTGGTGGTTTAGATTTACGTATATATAAATATAACTTCGAAACAGGTGTTGAGCTTGGTAAATAATTGTATAAATAATTGAGCATTAAAGAAAAATTTATTTTTTCTATTTATAGAATCTTATAAAGGTCATTTTGGTCCCATACATTGTATGTCATATTCCCCCGATGGTGAAGTTTATGCGTCAGGTAGTGAAGATGGAACATTACGTTTATGGCAAAATACAGTTGGAAGTACTTATGGTTTATGGGAAATGGTTAATGTATAAGATCTGCATTATTATTATTATTATTATTATCATATCTGTTGCTTTCTTTCTTTTTGCCTGGTATTCTATTGTTACATTTTTTTGTCTTTCTTGATAGTTGTGCATATATATGTGCATGTACGGGGCATTCAGTCAGTTAAAAAAACACAAAAGAATCAGTAATAACAACAACAACAAATAAAAAATATGTTACGAATGCATGGAAGACAAAGTGTATTTTCTTAATTACTGAACGATATTCAGTAGTAAAAAAAATTCGAAAAGATACAATTATATTTTAGTCATATAAAATCAATAGTTGGAATTATGTCCAGTTTCTTTTCTGAAACTTTCATGAAATTCTACTTTTCATCATTTATGAGGTGTCGGACAATTTTATTCTTCTATATTATTGCAGTAACTGTTACTCGAACTAGTATTGTAGTAGTTTTAGTTATTATACACTACAAGTAGATTTCAAAAATATTTCCTAAATCTTCAGAAAAAGATCAAAATATGGTTGTTTTCGCCTGTCATAGATAGGTTATTTCATTATTGACGATAACAAGTAATAGTATCATTCTAGTACACTCATTAAATTAATTATTCATTACTTTACAGACAAGGTAGTTATCAATCTCACAAATATATATATTTCTGTTTTTTTTAGGTTAATGTTGTAAAATTTATTCATCGCACATTTAGAGTAATGTAAATGTTATTAATATTGATGGATCAGATAGTAATTAATTCCTATATGACCAGAAAGTCTCTAATACAGTTATTATTGCCTGTACAATTCACAAAATTCTTCAAGCGACGATTGATAGGGGCATACCACCCATGGGATAGCAAATCTTAAATTGATAATTATTTTGAAACGAATGCAGAAAATTTATTGAAAATTTGTAAGAATTTTAAATCAAAACTCATGCTTTCTTTTCTCGCTATATACCATTAATACATTATTTTATTATGTTGATCGAATCACTATACCATCACGTGCATTTATTTCTCCGTCTTGTAGTTAAAAAAGTTTTATTCAAGGTTTGTCTACAACATATCGATCAAATACTAATCATAAATGTCAACAAACAGGTTCTCATGCATCATCAAATCGAACACTCGATACATTATATGTTATGATATTACATGGCATCGAAGCATCTCATTTTATTATGAAGAAAAACATATATAAAAATAATAAAACAAGAGACTATAAGATAAATTTAATCTTGCTAGACTTTCATTTCAAGGTGACACTTGAATTAGACTCGAGACATCTTAAAAATAAACTTCAATCAGCTAAAAGTGACGACATTATAGCTGAAGTAAATATATGTATGATTTGTTCAGCTGAGATCAATATAACTATATTTGTTTCATCAAGTCAAGATACATTCATTGATCAAACGTGATTCTTTACATTGAAGAACTATGATGATTCACTTACAATTCAATTTTATTGAAAGAATTTTTGTCTTTCATGTTAAAAGAATCACAAATTTCGATATATGGTTGACTGATCAATTACTATTATAGTTTACTGACTGTATAAAAATATTTTGTTTAGAATGAAAAATGAATCCTATTCTTTTTGTTTTGTTTAGTTACAAATTTTGTCCAATATCTAAATCATCATTAACATTAAAAAAATAGTTCTCATTTAACATATCAGTTGTATATTTGATTAAATGAGAAATAAAAACACAATGACATTTGTTCAGCTTCTGTATGTATAACTATATACATTTAGAAATATAAAAGTTCAAAAGGCACTCATATATATTATATATCTGAACTACAGTCATAAAGAAATTTATAATATACATATGCCTTCCATCATGAATAGATGTATACTAATAAAAAAAAAGCGAGTCCAGTCTCTCTTTTTTCTGTTCTCCACTTTCTGATAAGAGATACGCGATTCATTATGCTCATTTTTTCTCTCTCTTTCTCTTTCTCTCTCTGGTTCGTTTATAATAAGCGAACATCGTTTATCATTCGAATAAGCATTTCCACTAGGGTGTGAACATTTCATCAACATTCATTTGTATATGTATATAAAAATCTAGAAAAAGTTAATTCATTCTTGAAATTTATTGATTCAACTGCATATAATATATTAAATGTTTGGTAAGTTTTTATTAACGTAATTTTTCCTAGTGAATGGCACCTGTCGCCATTTTATGAATTCTATTGCTTGATCATCGATTCGATTGAATTAGTTGTCTCGTTGATGAGAAAGACTGTTGTCATACTATAAAAATTCTTAATCATATTTTCTGTTCATTTCACTCGCCAGGGGGCAAACACTTGTGTCTACTCTTCTTAGACCTCTGTATATATGCCATTACCAGCATCGTTCTCAAGAAGGTACCTATCCCATATTCTTCTCGTCAAGGCTTCTCCCTCTTTTTTTTTCATTACTCGTCAATCATGATAAATGTTCAATTAGCATCGTCTGTTTTAATCGTTCCTGTCTGTTTCATCAATGCTTATGATCATATCATGGCATTTTTCTATTTGTTTTCTTTATTGAATATCCAAGAACATGATATCAAGTCGTCTTGTATCTGTCAGTATACACCAGCACAATATTACCGACATCATCATCAAAAAACAAGAGAGAGAGAGAAGAGATTAAAAGAAAAGTTCAGTATCGAGAATACAGACAGATATCCGGGCACGCGACAATTAGTATCAAAATTGTTCGCGTCTGTACAATGATTGTATATAGCAACTTTTAGGTCAAAGTCTGTTTCCGGGGTACAGATCAACAATATAAATACTTAGAAAATAACACGAAAGAAGAAGTATTCAAATTTGACTTTCTAGTTAATATTCCATCATAGATAATAATCCGATTATTTCATTTCAAATGATTAGAATATCAGAAAATAGATAACTGACATGTCAATCTTCACACTAAACGGTCTACTAGTTTGTAGAACAAGTCTTTTGTTTTGTTAAATTGACAAGATTATGCATGTCTCAACATTCTACATTGATCGAAGACTTTTTTTTTTCTTCTTCTTCTTCTTGTTCTTCTCTATGTTCTTATATGTCGAAGATGAGCCTTTTTTTTTTCTCTTTTTCTCCTATCAATTTGCAATCTAGCCAGATTGACCACAACACGAGATAATCGAACATATTGAATCTTCTTTTTTTGCATTTTATATTAAACGATGCAAAAAAAAAGAAAAATCTTATAAATTCTTGAATTAATTGTTGTCTCGCAGTCTGATGCCATCCATCGCTATCGATAAGTTTTATTTCTTTGATCTTTGCCGTGATAGTTACTGTTGTTGTTATTGTTATTTAAAAATGAGAAAAATGAAGAAAAAAACTACTCATCAATCAGACTGTCGCATTCTATATACCCTACAATTTCTTTTTTCTACATGTTCACGAACTACCTATGAATAAATGTATATTTATAAATATAATATATAAATCGATGACATAAGTTATATATAAATTTGAAAGATTACATGACATATGTACATGTATAGTACAATAATATATACAATAATCATGGCGTATGTTTGCCTCGAACTAACCTGTAATTAAACTCGATCAAAATGATATACTTCTTGGTGTTATTGTAGACTTTAAAAGAAAGAATGAAGCAGAGACAGAAAGAGAGAGAGAGAGAGAGAGTATGTTGTGTCTATTCTTCAAGAAAATGAACTTTCAATAGCCAACAGTTGCGTCTGAACAAGAGAGAAAGAGAACAAGCACTTTTCTACTACTACTACTCCTGCTGCTTCATCATCATCACTAATACTTCATCATCATTCTTCTCAATGTCTCATTCTTAGTAGATCGATGCAAGTGACCCTATACAGATGGCCAGTGGCTACGCGTGTCAACATTGTTCCCAATTGCCTCCTCCACCTCCAATGTTTGCTATCGGTCCACCACCAAATATATTATCGATAGATACTCGTTGTTCATCACGTTCATTATCACTAACATCAATTGAAACTAAAAAAGCTGTATCATCATTATCATCATTATCATCGGTATCAATCATTTTGGGAATTATAATCGCTTTGCTTATCACATTAACTACTATTGTCTTGATCAAGTAAGTAAACTTTTTTTTCTTTTTCTTCTTATTCTCAAATCATTCATTAGAGTCTCTCAGGTGTCAAAATACATGATTTGATTTTCATAATGAACAAATGACATTCATCTCTATTGAGAAATAACCACACATACGTACACACGCATTCATTTGTCTTTCACAGCAGGATATTGAAAGTCATGATTTATTTTTCTGCAAAGCACGTACACATTGTTTATTCGAATAGAATAGATGATGGCAAAATATTGATCCAATTTGTTCTACACGCGTGTATGAACGTACGTGCTGAATAAACATATGAGATATATACATATTGATAATGTCCTTGTTATCGATAAAAATATAATGAGAACAAGAATGTTGTTATATATTTAACATTGAAAGATATTATTTTGTTTTTTAGAAAACGACGACAACGACATAAAACAAAATGTAATAATAGAATGATGATTAATTCTTCATCAGTCAGATACAATAGACATCATCAGTATAATAACAATAATCATCATCATCGTCATCAAAATTGGACAGTAAGTCTTCTCATGACATCGAATAAGGCAACAGGAAAAAAAAGCATATGTAGTGCTTTCTTATCATTTTGAAAGGGGTGTGAACCTTTGTAAATCTATCAGGCAAGAGTAATCGGATAGACAGACAGACGTTCAAACAATTTGAACAGCTGACCAACTTTTAAATCAATATTGCCATTGGCAAGATAGTTGAGAAAAGAACAGAAAAGAAAAGATACAAATAATCAATAATTTGTTTCGCATTTCGTTTTTCTATCATTTAAAAACGATTTGTTTTAATTTTCTTTTTTTTTAGACATGTGTTCCATTATTGAGTGATAGTTGTAGTAGTGATCAAACGTCTAGTACGCCTCCCAATGAATATCCTTGTACAAATGGTGTTATTGAACCTCTTCTAAATCGTGATGTTACACATCACGATTATGAACAAATAAAATGTGATGATTCATCATCGGGATCATTACATTATTACTGTCTTATCTATTGTCGTCAATGTGCGAATTATCATCCAACATCATCATCTTCATCGAGTTCATCGTCATCATGTCCACGATCGAATCCTATTCGACCATGTCATTTACCTATATCAACTAATCCAACTTGTCAACATCAATGTGCATGTTATCATCGAACATATTATCAACGAAATGATAATCGGTTTTTTGAACTTCAACCGATGTTAATGACAAGAATAGATAATAATAGTGAAGATTCAAATAATCATCTCAAATTTATTGAAGAATCACCACCAATTTAAATTTTAATAATTATAATTTTTCAATTGTTGTTTTTCTTATCTAAACCCTGTGATTATTTGTTCGTTTGTATTTATATAAGTGCTGTGTTTTCTTTTATTACCAAAAAAAAAAAGAATTTCGTATTATCAGAATCGACAGATGTCACGTATCGACTGATATTGACAAAAGATTATTTGTTTTCGATCAAAAATCAAACTTAAAAACAATGGATGACATTTTTATGTTCTAGAGGCATATATATAGATATATAAATTTAAATGACAATTGGATAGCAGAATAAAATATGGAACAGCAATAAACTCAGCTCAATAGTTTTGAATTCCATACGTACGACATCATAAGTTGGAAAAATGTCCTTTGATACAACTGAAAATGATGCAATAATTGCTCGACTTTTGTCCGAAGATGATGAGTTTGTTGAGTTTATTTCATAGCTTTTCTTTTATTTAAATATTTTCTTTAAAGTATTGAACCGAGTTCATTTATTCCATCGAAAAAATTCAAAACTGATCATGTACAACAAACAATAAATAATTCATCGTCGACTGAAGTAATTATTTTATTAGAAATATTCGAATAATAGTTTTAATTTAAAAAGAAAACGGATATTCGTAAACAAATTGATGAAGATAGTGAAATGGCTATTATTATACAAATTGAAGAAATTGTTTTACTAGAAAGTGAAAAAACCATCGAGTAAGTTATATAAGAAAATAGTCTATTAAGAAATAAATATTTCCATTGTTGTTTTTTTCAGAGTTACTGATGCGCAATTGGAAAAAACTCATGCTGGTATAACAAATGCTTTGCAATCGACAGAATCAACGGATAATATGTTAGCTAAATATATTAAGAAAATAGATAAATCTATTTTAATTAAATAGGACTAAAATCTTTGGTATGTTTGCTGCTATACAAACTCGATATACTGATTGTCAAGCGAAAAACCAAGTAGATAATGATATTAGTATATAAATTTCATTTTATTATTTTGTCTATGTAGGATTTAATTGATAAAATTCAAAAAATATCAGTGACACTTTATCCAACATTAATTTCATTGAAATTACCAGGAAATACTGGTGGTTTGAAACCATCTCCAGCAATTCTTGCTATTGGTCTTATTACTAGTGAGTTATTTATTTAAGAATAAATAATAAATTTAGTTTTGTTTTGTACTTTTATCTCTCAAGATGTTCTTCAAGGTAAAATCGATTTGAATGAAGCAAAACAACTTGTATCGAACTTAATATTAATGTGGAGTGAATCAACTGATTGGTGTGAATTTTGTGAACAACTTGTTTATATATTAGTAGCGATAACAATACCAGCATTTGCTCAAAGAGCTATGGGAAAAATAATGGAAAAAATTTCATCATCGAAATAATTCTTAATTCAATTTGAATTTTTCTTCCCTTATGTATTATATTTATTCTTATCCAATAAGTGATATATATATATTTTTCTTTTTGTTAAAACATAATTAATATGTAAAGTTAACATAAATTTATTATTCTAATAAAATTTATCTATCTAGATAATTTAAAGTTCAGTCATAAATGTAAATTATGAGACAAGACTTTGACTAAAAGAAATCTGTAAGAGTGATATCTATAGTACCATTTGGTTCGATTATATACTTAACCAATAAGAATAATGATTTTTGAAATAAGTAGAGATGTAATCAATGATTTGTACATGTATATTTATTTACCATTTTTTTCTTATCAGGTAAAAAGGAATCGATGTATAAAATCAGATGCAATTGCGTTGTATTTGAGCAATGTAATAAATTTTGTTTTTACCTTCTATAATTCTGATTTTTGAGTGTATAACCTTGAAAAGTCCCGTAATGAGTAAGAAGTTTTTATTATATTTCTAATTCTTCACTAGACAGTTAAAATAAATTTCGCCAGATATTTTATTAACTATATAAAATAAACAAAGAATGTTAACAGCTATGTGTTGCTAAGGTATCTAAGTAGCTTATTATGCATAAAATGCTTGATCAGTAATACGATATAAAAGATAAAAAATATCTATATTGTATTCAAATTTTATATGTAAACAATGATAAAATTTTTGTTTGATCATAATCATTCAGCTAGTATTACATTTGATAAGAACGATGATAAATAAGTATTACATTTTCTCATTCGTATACTTTGAAATATATATATATAGACTACAATTTATTGAATATTCATATTAATGTAAAAAAAATGATGATCATTTTCATTAATAATCATATAATATAAAATTCTTTTGTTTTCATAGAGTAGACTGTAATCTCTTATAGAACATAATGTCTTCCGTTTCCTATTCTCATCTTTATGAGTTAGCCGTTGTCTCCAACAATGATATAGATTCTTATTCTTTTTTGCCCATTGGACAAATAATTGCTTCCTAAATAACGAAATTTCTTTATTCTTTTTTTGTTTTTAGATAAAATGAAGTCTATTATTATCTTTGTTGTTTTTATAATCAGTTATTGTTATGCTGAACATATGCTAGGTGGTTGGAGTGTATCCGATGATCAATCTCTTAAAGAAGAATGTATACAAAAAGCTCTTGTCAATATTCCAGGTGCTCAGAATGGTGGTGATGGTCAATCACAAGTATCTGGTTCTACTTGCCTCACACAAGTTGTAAATGGACTTAATATTAAATGTACTCTTACTTTAAGTGGAGAGCAATGGGAATGCAAATATTATAAATCATTTTTTGGAACACGTGAGACACAACTCCAAGGATGTGCATTAGTAAAAAATAGTGGCGATCAAGAAAAACCAACAGCATTCAACGAAGATAGATTCGATGATGATGATTTTAATGATATGATGTATCAATAAAATCCAGAACGGAATATAAATAAAAAAACATTGCTGAACTCTGAAAAAAAATTCTCTTTTATTTTCTTATCTATTCATTTGATTTAATAAAAACCTTATTGTATTGATTTCCAAGATAATACTCATATATATATAATTAATAAATTCTGCGCACTTATACTCTAGAATAAAATGTTAATTAGTTTAATCAGACGATCTTTTTCTCGTCTGACTCATTCTCGTTATTTTTCGAATTTAATCAATGAAAAAGATATAAACGAGGAAAATATTCACTGTTCTATAGCTGATCCATCGATACCATTACCTCTAATTATTCCAACATCAGGTGTACCTATTCATCTTTATACACGTGAACTTGAACCTCAAGCATTAAAACAATTAGTTGTTTTAGCTGAAAGTGGTATTGTGAAAGGATTTGTTGCTGCTATGGCAGACGTACATGTTGGTAAGATAAAATAAATTCATATTTTCATTCAATATTCTAATTTATAGGTGTTGGTGCAACGATTGGAACTGTCTTTGCTTCTACAACTCATGTAAGTCCATATGCTGTTGGTGCTGACATTGGATGTGGAATGATTGCTGCACCAATTCATGGTTTAACATTAAACAAATTGAAAGAAACTTGGAAAAAAGAAATTCAACAAAAAATTAAAATTGCAATACCAACGGGACATGATGCAAGAATAAAAGCACATAGAAAAACTGATAATATTATTCGTAATTTAGGTGCATGTACAAATTATTTAAAAAGTCAAATATCTGATATAACAAAAAAACAAGTAATAATATTAGAATACAAAATTTTTTTCTAAGATTATTTAGTTAGGTACATTGGGTTCAGGAAATCATTTTCTTGAAATACTCTACGATGAAAATGAACAAATTTGGATAATGTTACATAGGTAGAGATATGATTTATAAATGAAACAAAAAGAACGATATAAGATTTATTTTTAGTGGTTCACGTCGAATTGGAAAAGAAACATGTGACTATTATCATGGTATTGCTGGTGATCAAATGTCTAAACATCGTTTACCAATTATTAATGAATTAAAATATTTAGAAATTGATTCATCGGAAGGTCAAAATTACTTAATTGATATGCGATGGTGTTTAAATTATGCTGAACAAAATCGACGAATTATGTTAGATGAACTTTGTTCGATTATTAAATCAGTAACTGGATTTGAAACTGATCTTAAACGGATGGTTAATATTCATCATAACTATTGTCAACAGGAAAATGTTTGTTTTAATAATTCAGAAGAAGAATTCGTTTGGGTTACAAGAAAAGGTGCAACAAGTGCACGAAAAGGACAATTAGGAATAATTCCTGGTTCAATGGGTACTGGTTCATTTATTGTTGAAGGTTTAGGAAATTCTTTATCATTTTATTCTTGTTCACATGGTGCTGGAAGATTAATGTCAAGAACAATGGTTAATTTAGTTTTTTATTAAAACAATTCTCATTTTTTATTCTCATAGGCAATGAAACAAATTTCTCAACAATCTTTTGAACAAGCTATGAAAGGTATTGTGAGTGATACTAATGCAGCATTGAGAGATGAAGCACCACAAGCATATAAAGTAAGTAAATAAAAAGAAAATAAGAATGTTTAATATGAATAAATATGATTTTAGGATTTGACAACAGTGATGAATAATCAAGAGTCATTGGTAAAAATTGTTCATCGTCTTAAACCACTTATAAATGTCAAAGGAATGTCAGAAAGAAATATTCGTTATTCAAAAAAATCAAAAAAGAAAAACTAAACATATTCGATAGATATTCATATTTCATTTTCTACTATTTAATAAAACATATACATATCATTAAAATTGTATAGAAGATTTTTCTCTACGATAAGAACTATCGAACAATATGAAATTGTTATTATTGTAAAATTCATCTAATCAATGATATGATTCGTTTGAAAAATATGTAATATATAATTGCATAATATAATCACGTTCATTCAGTAACTCTGCACTATAGAACTGTCGAGAAGAATAAAAGGATTTCTAATGATTTATGTATGATCAACTAATTAGAATAAGTTCTATTTGATGATCTGAATACAAACAAGAAAAAAAAAAAGTTTTTTTTTTATATGAATATATAGACAATGCTATTCAATTTTCTTGTTCAAATCAAAATACAATATTGATATTGATCTTCCGATTGCATCTTTGACAACTTTTTGGATTAACAAGGACATAAAATGCATTATTATGTAAGAAGAGATCACATTGTTCACGAATAAAGTGTACACAATGAAATAAGAGATTTTTACATTATTTCTCTATGTGCATAAACATAAAAGAAAAAGAGAAAAAAAAAATCATACACATCTATATATAGATTAAATATACATATATAAAAAGAAATTCTTCTTCTTCTTTTTTCGCTATATTCATAGTTTGAGAATTGACTTAGTTCGATGATTTTATCATGCTGTGTGTCTATTTATTGATCTAATCAGATTTTCCTCGCCTGCATACAACTACAAATACAATCTGCATGTCATTTTGACTGATGGTGATGTTACTTTCAGAAGGAAAAAAAAAGCGGAATAGACATTGATAGCAAGCTGTCCATCTTTTTTTCCTTCTATTCTCTTCTGTCTCATCCTCACAACAAGTACGACTATCGGCACATAGCACGATCTTATTATTGATTGTGTTCTTCTCTGATCAGACAGAGTGTATATAATCTTCTATAGTATTAGAAACAACAAATAGTCATTCACGAGCACACAGACATACAAATATATCTACGCGCCAATCATTCTTCAATGACCGAATTTACTATTAAAATCGATCGTTTAACTGAACGTCTTCGTCGTGGTACAATACAATGTGATCTTATTGAACAACGAGCTTGTCTTGCTGAAGAACGTTTATCAACACTCAATCAATCTGTACAAAGTCTTGCTCGTCTTATTGAAGTTAGTCTTTTAATACTTATTTCGTCTGATAAAGAAAAATTCACATGGATACAATTAATTAATAATGAAAATAATCAATTAACAAATCCAATGATACAACAATTTCTTTATCGTCTTGAATCTTATTTGCATCGATCAATAAATGATCATGAAGAAAAACTAGATTATATCAAAGCATTATCACTTGTTCAGAAACCTTCATTTGTATCATCGAGTTTTTTTTTTAAATAATCCAAGAAAAAGAATAACATAAAAAAAGCAATACTGATGATTCTTTGTTTCTTATGTATTTCTTAAAAAATGTTAATCTTCGGCTTCATCATTATCATTGTCATCATCATCGTCTTCATCAGCTTTAGGATTAGTTTTTGATGTACTTTTTGATTCAGCGGATGCTCCAGCAACTGCTCCTGTTGCTTCATCATCATCTTCACCTGGTAGTTTACCTTTAATTGCACCCTCTAGAAATATTCCCAATTGAATATTTGTTCTAAAATATTTTTCAAATTATTTACCTTCATCTTCATCGGAATCTTCATCATCATCACCCGATCTTTCACGATTTTCATCTTCAGCTTGTTGCATAGCTTCCTGTAGGGAAAAAGAAAGATAAATTCGTTGTTTCGAAATTTATTATATTTTACTTTGAGTGTTGCATCATCAACATCAGTAACAACTTTGGGTTCCATTTTAATTTTAAATATTCCACGATACTGTTCAATACCATGTTTTATTTTTTCTATAACATTTCTTAGTGCTTCAAGACCTTCATTTCGATCGAGACATGTAGCTGTAACAACATAAAGTGGTGGAGCAATTAAATTAATCTAAAATAAAATATTATAAATAAATGAATAAAAATTAACAAACAGGATTTACTTTAACAGGCATTTCTTCAGTTGATGCTTTGAGACCTTCTCTTAATGCGTCTTTTACTGCATCTACACCTTCATAACCATAACATGCTACTTCAACATCTAAATAAAAAGAAACAAAATAATATAAATTAATAAAGTTTAAATTTTCTTTATTTACCAGCTCGACATTTAACAGCTTGAGGAGTTAAACGACGACGAATATTATTAAGTAGAATTTTTCTTGTTTCGTCATCAACTTTACAATCATCAAGTTCTTTTTCATCACTAATATAATATTCATTTAACAAATAAATCTTTATTTTTTTAATCAGTTAATTTTTACTTAACAGCTCTTGCAAATACATCATATGATGCACCGGCTCGTTTATATTTTTCATCATAATACCAGGCTGTTTTATCATATAATTCTTCAAATTCTTCATTTGTCTTTAATCCTAATACTTCAGCTGTATGACGGAGAATACCACTGACCTGTAAATATTAAATTCATCAATACATTTGATGTGAAAAATAAACGGAAGAATCTTACGGTTTTTCCACGGACAAATTTTTCTTCACATTTACTAACATCTTCTGGTGAGACTCGACGTTTAGATAAATCAATATAACCTAAATAAGAAGGAGATATTTTTTTAAAACTAATTTATTTGATTGTAATTCTACTGCACCTTTGTCACGATCGACACGAACAACAACAACAACTTCGTTGCGACCAACACGGATAAGTTTATTGATTGAACGAATTCGTCGACGAGATAATTCAGTTAGTAGAATCATACCTTCGATATTATTATATTCAAGTAAATGAACATAAACACCCATTTCTTCGATATTAACAACGTTAGCCATAACTAAATCATCAGTTTCAGGTAAACGACTTTTAAAAAATCGACACGTTAGTTGCATGATTTTCGGAAAATAATTAGAAATAGGTCTAAAAATATCAAATAAATCTAGTTATAAAAGAAGATCATGTAATGTAGGTAATTGTAATTTTGAAATAAAATATAGATTTATTCCAATGATTATGTTCTTTTATATTGGTAGAATAATAAACAAATCTAAATAGTGAGGTCTCTGGTAGCATTTGATTCTATTGGATAATTAATTTTTTAACTTTATCCGATCAGCTGTATGTATTTTTTCTCTAAAAAAACTTATTTCAACTCAATCATCAATTATTTAAACTTTTTTCTTGAGTTTTCAAATAGTATTGCTATTCAATAAAACGAATGATCACAAGAAACTATTCAATTCATGCAAAGAATTTTGTAATATTTATGTCTTAATATTCTTCACATTTGAATCAACTATAACAATAAAAATAGAGTTAAACTGATTATTATTATTATTTATATGAAAAACGAAATGAAACTTTGTAGTATCGATGTTAAATTTATAAATGAATTTTCATTATCATCATTTGACATTTCTCATGTAGCTTTGAAATTCTCTTTACAATCATCGGCTTATAATAGTTGTTTAGTAAGAATGTGTTTCTATCTTTGTGACCTCCGAAGACAATGAAAGCAAGAAAATTTTCGTGCACAATTCAGTTTTTTTCTCCTCCTTCGATGTCCAACACTTGTATCTGTCTTAATGAATTGTTTATATAAAGATTAACTTCAATCTTTCTTTGTCTTTCGTTTTGTGTACGACCAGACAATTAAAACAAGATTGAATATATTGAATACTAAGTGAATAGTTGAATGCCATCATGATGAAATCTACACCGGCTTGGAGTCAATTATTTCTATTTGATTTTTTTATTGTTTTTTCATTAATTGATTTTTGTAATTCACATGGTAGATTACTTGAACCACCACAAAGAGGTAAAGTCAATATAAAAATAATCTATATAAAATTTTTTCGATAGGTTCAATGTGGCGTTTTGGATTTGAGGTACCAGCTAATTATAATGATATGAGTAATTATTGTGGTGGAAAAGAAAATCAATGGACTTCACAAAATGGTCGATGTGGTTTATGTGGAGATCCATTTCAAGGTAGATTTTTAATCTGAATTCATTTTTATGTTTTTATTACATTTGTAGGTCCTCGGGATCATGAAGATGGTGGTATATATGCAACAGGTATCATCGGTCGTACATATGAATCAGGTGAAATGATTAATACAACGATTGATATAACTGCTAATCATTTTGGTTATTTTGAATTTCGATTATGTCCAATGAACATGGGACATTCTCGTCGGCCACGTCGTTTAACTCAACATTGTTTAGATGAATATCTTTTAAAAATAGGTCCAAGTGATTCAAAATCTAATGGAGATGATACTCGTTATTATTTGCCACATGGAAATAAATCTTATTTTTATGTACCTGTTGAATT